CAAAAAAAAAAAAAAAAAAAAAAAAGAAAATGATAGGAGAGGACCCCATTCTCCCTCCACCCCTAGCCTCCTCACCTCTGCCATAAAGGGGCACAGAGAGAGTGCCTCTGCCTCTGCTTCCTACCTGGGACCTGAAGTTTGGGTGGTGGAGCTAGGGCTTTGGGATTCCTCCCCTCCCTATGCAAATATTAACATCAATGTTTCTTCTTTCTTTCTTGCTTTTTTTTTTTTTTTTTTTGGAAAAAGAGTCTGTCTGTTGCCCAGGCTGGAGTGCAGTGGCACAGTCTTGGCTCACTGCAGCCTCCACCTCCCAAGTTCAAGTGATTCTCCTGCCTCAGCCACCTGAGTAGCTGGGACTACAGGTGCATACCACCACACCCAGCTAATTTTGACATTCTTAGCAGAGTAGGTGGGGGTTTCACCATGTTGGCCAGGCTGGTCTTGATCTCCTGACCTCAGTGATCCGCCCGCCTCAGCTTCCCAAAGTGTTGAGATTACAGGCATGAGCCACCTCATGGCCACCAATGCTTCTTAAACTATTGTGTACTTTACAATCACCCCAGGGAACTAATTTAATATGTAGGTTCCTGAGCTCTTCCACGGATGCTGAGTGCCCTGACTGGGAGGTTCTGCTTTCCAAGGGACTTGGATGCTGGGGCCAAGAAGTCAGGTGAGTATCATGGAGTCTGATGGCTGGGAAGCTATAGGGGTTGGTAAGGCTGTTCTATCACAGGGCTTGTGGTCCAGCCTGGGCTCTGCTCACCTGTCAGGTATCTCCCTGGGATCCCCTGGTTCAGGCTGTTGGGCATTCCTGGGCCCCTCGGGGCTGAAGCTCCCTTTCCCTTCCAGGATGGCCTGCACCACAGCCACAGGCAGCGGTGGGGGGGCTGTCACGCAGAAGTCACACTCGTTTGGGGCCAGGGCCAGCCCGGCCTCGCCATCCCCCCCTGGACTGGCCGGCTCTTCTTTGAGCAGTGCCAGGCCCTTCTCCCTGCACCGGAGAAAAGCTTCAACCAGACCCTGGCACTGACTTCTCCCCCTACCCCCACAGCCATCTGGGCTGCCAGCCCCTCCCCCACAGGCCTCCCAGGGGCAGCCCTGTCCCCCTTACCTCCTGCCATCACTGGAGGGAGAAAGCCTGGTCCCCTCAGGGGATGGAGAGTCTTCTGGGATGTCAGAGATGATGGGGCCCCTGGCCCTGTGAGGGCTGAGGCCCAAAGTTGTCTCTGGGAGGGGCTGTAAGTAGAAGGCTAGGCCCAGCCCTTGGCCTGTAGGCACAGGGAGAGCCAGAACCCCACCAACACCCACCTGGGCCAGGTCTAAGGGAGGTTTGAGGGAGGAGGTTCAGTCCATGCTGGAGGGCCTGGGTCTGGTTGGGGGAAAGGCTGGCTTCCATCTTCTCTTCCTTTTAGGGGATGGGGAGAAGGAACAGGCTCTCCATAAGCCCAGCCATGCCCTCAGGAAGGGGGCAGAAGACAAGCCTACCGACTGGATGAAGTAGGGGTCCTGCAGAAGGGCACCAGATAGGGAGCAGGTGTTGAACTTGGCAGGTGTTGGGCAAGAGCTCCCCTCATCCAGCATCAGGGACCTGTGTGGTTGAGCAGGGCATAGGGAGGGGTGGGGCAGGGTTAGCCCCCATGCCCCTCGGCCTGCACTTCCCTCCCTCCCTCAGGCCCCAGCAGCCAAGTCAGCAGAGCTGAGGCCTGTTGCCAGGGCGTCAGTCACATGCTGGAGGTGGAAGGGGCTCCCCCCAGAGATGGGGGCCCTTTGGGGGTAGAGAGGGGAGGGAGGGAACCTGGTTTGAGCCCCAGGCCCTCAGCTGTTGGGAAGCTTTTTGAGGGGAGGGGGTAGGGGGCTGCTGGGGTTGGAATTTGGGTATAAGGTCCAGAAATGGGAGGATCTGGGAATGGGGGTACCAGGTGGTGGAGTTGGGGAAAGCAGATCCTAGATGGGGTGAGGAAGCCTGTAGTGCAGGGGGAAGGATGAGGATTGCTGGTGAAGGAGTTTCTGGAGGAGAAGGGATCCTTGCAAGGGGACTTCTGTGGGGTCTTGGAAGTAGGTGTGGGCCTTCCTGGCTTTCTCACTCACAGCTTTCTCTTGGCTCCGGCATTGCTTGGACCCGCCTGAAGTGGCCCAAAGAGACACTGGATCAACTGAAGATAAAGCAAAGGGTTAATTCATATTTTGGACCCCGCCCCCACCCCAGGCACTTCCAGGTGAAGGAGGGAGGTCTAACAGGGGCTCTGGGAGACTGGACGGCGGAATAGGGTTCCTGAGGAATGGGAGGAATAGGGTGTCGAGGAGTAGGAGGGAGAAGCGAGGCATGAGGAGAGGAACACCTTGCCGATGACCCGGTGCTGCTGACCGTGGCTCTGCCGAAGTGTCACCACCTCCCGCCACAAGATCTCGTTCTGCCTGGGGAAGGAGTGGGAGGGTGCAGAGGCATCTGAGAGTTCGCCCAGTCACCACCCCCCACAGAATGGCGAGGCCGGGGAGCCAGGAAACCACCCCGACGATCTAGAGATCTCCCATAAGCCAGGGCCAGACAGAGGAAGGGGTTCCCAGAACCACCAGGCGGCCAGTTTTGGTCTCATCCCGAACCCCCAACCCTGCCCCTCTTTCCCCGCCACCTGCGCACTGCCTGAGCTCGCGCAATCGCGCCTCGGTGCTCTCCTGCACTCCCCTCAAAGCCTGCACCTCGCCCAGTAGTCGGCCCAGGTCCTCTGGCCGCCAGCGGCCATCCTCTCCGCGCAGTGCCGGCACCTGAGGGTGGCAGGCACCGTCGGGACTGGGTCGCAGGAGCAAGGCCGGCAGCCCCAGCACCCCGCCTCGGCTCTGCTTATTCCCGAAGGCCGCCCACACCTTGCGCCGCACGCGCTCCAGTAGCTGCTCTCGGCCCCGCACGAAGCTCGGGTGCTGGAACTCGACGTGGTCACGCTCCGGCCTGAGCAGGCCGCCCTGCTCGATGCTCACCACCTTCCGAAAACCGTCTGAGGAGTGGGGCGTGGGGGCGTGGGTCACCCCATCCCCTGCACCAAGTCCCCAGTCCCCGCCCCCCGCCCGGCCCTAGGCACTCACACATGTTGAGTTGGCGTACGAAGCTCGCCATGTTGCTGTGCTTGAAATACTGGGGCAGCACTTCCTTGGCGAAGCGGCTCTGGTCGCTTACAAGGAAACTGGTCCCGCTCTACCAAGAACGCCGCCCGCCCACCGTGCGGGCGGAGACCAGGAGAGTGAGCGGTGCCCGCCCACGGCCAGTCCTGCGCTCTAGCGCGCGCACTGGCTCATGGCTCACGCTCACTCTGGGGTCCAAGCCTGCCGCTTCATGGGTCGAGGCCAGGCCAGAATGGGCTCTAAGGCCTAGCCTGGAGCGACCACAGTGAGTCCCTACCCCCAGCCAGACCCTAACTCCACACTCCGTTCTCAGAAAGGAGAGGCTGACGGGTTCCAGCCCTGGGCAGGCCCCAGCCCCGCAATGTGACCCTGAGCTAGACCAGCCCTTCCCATCTCCTGGCCTCGGTTTTCCTATCTGTCGGATGGGGCGGGTGGGAACTAAATGGCCTCGAAGGTCCCTCGGGCTCTAGATCTCCAGGACGCAGGCTCCTAACCCTTCTTCGGCCAGAGGAAACCCCCATCTCGCACACTCCAAGGTGAACTACCCTAAATGGCTGAATCCGGGGATCCACGGCCCAGTCTCAGGCGGGAGTTGGGCGGACATGGGTGTTCACTGACGTGGAGGGACCCCGGGACCACTAGGGGAATTGAGGGGCCCCGGCCCTCACCGGGCTCCAGCGGATCAGGTGGTCTGTGCCTGGGTCGCCCACCAGCGCCCATAGCTTGCCAAGAAAGGCAGGCACGGGGCTGGGTCCTGGCTCCGTGGGCAGCACTGCTGGCGCTTCCTGCATGGTGCAGTCTCGGCCCGGCTCAGCGCTCGGGCCTGGCCGGGGCGGGCTGGTCAAAGCCACGGAAAGTGCTGCGTTTGCCGCCCGCTCCGCCCTACTCCGCCCCGGGGCGCCGGGTCAGGCGGGGGCCACGTGCGAGCCCGCGGGGCGGGGCTCGGACAGCTGCCGAGGCTCCAGCAGACAGAAAGGGCTGGCTGGATGGGATGTGTGAAGTGGAGTGGAGAGGTAGTGTGGGGTGGGGTGAGGTGGGAGATGGATTCGAGTTCCACCCTTCTCAGTCCCTCTATTTCCTTCTTTGTTCTACGGGAGAAATCGCTGGTGCGCGACCTGGTGTGGGCTGGGCAAGTCCTAGAAGGCGATGGCCAGAGACACAGTGAAGCCCCAGGCAGGGCAAGCAGATAGGATAGGGTGTGGCGGGGAAGCACGCCCCCGCCCGCCGAACCCCAGGACACAGTCAATCCTAGGGTGCGAGTGCCTCGCCCCTGACCCCCACACCCTTGTCAGACCGGAGGACCTTGAGGAAACCCCACCTCTGCCGGGATGGCTCCTCCGGCCTCCGCGCGTTCCCCGCCCTCCCCTTTCAGATCCGATCCGCCTTTCACAGGACGCAGAGACGCTGCAGGATTTGTTTATTTCACATTCACCCCTGAGGCCCGGCCCGCGCCGGGGCCGCGGAGCTGCAGAGCCCGCAGAGGGGTGGTGGCCAGCGGGGGCAGTGTGTCCAGGACCGAGCGGGCGGGACTTCTGCAGAGGGTGAGAGCAGTGAGTGGACTCAGGGCTCCCAGGAATGGTCCCGATACCATCCCACAGTTCCCACTCCGTAGAGACCCGGGGGGGCAACAATCCCGAAGGAAGGCGCTAGCAGTCAGGACGCACCTGGACACCCCCGTCCCAGCTCAGAGCGCTTACGTTCGCGGGAACGGGGGGAGAAGTCGCCCAATCACGCCACTGGCGTGGGCCGCCAAGGATAAGGCTCGCGCGTGAGCTTGAGGGTATAGGTGCGCAGGCGCGGGCAGTGCATGCGGAAGGCGTTCAACACGGAGGGGCTCACCACGCAGAAGCAGTGCACCTCGCGCAGGCCCGCGCAGCGCGCCGCCAGCTCCTCCAGCGCGGCATTTAGCCCGGCTGAAGCGGCTGCGCACACCTCGAGCGCGCGCAGTGTTGCGGCGTAGTGGTGCGCCGCAAAGCGCACTGGGCCTACGGTGTCGCCTGAGAGGTTGAGGCGTAGCGCAGCCACGGGGACCGCTGGCTGCAGGACGCGCGTCACGCTCTCGGCTGGCAGCGCGGGCTCCAGCTCCAGCTCCACGGCCAGCCCAGGGTGGCGGCGGCGCAACGCAGCCCAGGCTTCGTTGGGCAGGGGGGAAGCGCGCGCATCTTCGGGGCACGCGCAGCGCAGAGTCAGGAGCGCGAAAGGTGAGCGGTCTGGTGCGGCCAGCGCTTCGAGGGTGGCATGAGACAGACTGGCTAGGTGCAGGCCGAGAGCGCGCAGGCGCGGGCAGGCCCCCAGTAGTTCGAGCACTGATCCGGGACCCACGCTGTCCACTAGGGTACTGTTATCCAGAAAAAGGCTGTGGAGCTCGGGACAGCTGCGCGCCGCCCGCAGCACCAGCGCGTCGTCCAGTGTGAAGGGCAAGCGCCGCAGGTCGAGGTGGCGCAGCTCGCGGGCCGCCCCGCATACTGCGTGCACAGCCTCCAGGACGTCGTGGCCCGAGTCGAAGAGCGGCTTTTCTCCGCGGCACTCCAGGCAGAGGCCTCGCAGCCCCAGGGCACGGCCCGCCAGAGCCATCAGCAGTTCGATGGCTGCCCGGCGACTCGGCTCCCTCGATGGCTCAAATTCCAGCCGTAGGTTGTGAACGTGGTCAAGACAGGCGGACAAATTAGGTGGCAGCATGCCTTCCAGCTCACATTCGCAACTTGGGTTGGAGTCGTGCAGAAAAGGCCTCGGCTGAGTCCCCGAGACCAGGGGAGAAGCCTCTACCTACCCCTTAGCTGGGTTTCCAGCTGCCATCCCACTTCCTGCCTCCCTCCCCACCTCTCTGTCCAGACCTCACCTGTTGCCCCAAAGGAGGGAATTCCCATCCTATCCTTTTAGAAGAGTTTAGTGGCATCTGCCACAGGTTGAAACCCGGGTATGGGGAACCAATGATATTTTAGGAACTGGACTTTCTCAGCTGTCTCTAAGGTGTCTCGGAGTGGCCTCTGGACTGCTAGGTTGGAATTCCGCCTTTGCCATTCCCTAGCTGAGTGATCCGTGGGAAGTGATTAAGCCTCTGCCTCAGTTTCCTATCTAGGCAATGGAGGTAATGATAATACCGATCTACCACACAAGGTTTTCGTAAGGATTAAATTAGTTAATATATGTAAGGCAATTAAAAACAATGGTTGGTATGTGTTGGGCAGTTAATAAATGTCAGCGATTATTTTTTAATATGGGGGAGTCAACCTGAATCTCTGCCTAGCCCACGACTCCACAGAGAAGGTGAAAGGGAGGCAGGGTGAGGGGTGTGGAGGAGCAGGCTCACCTGATTTTTGTGTCGTGCCACACGGCGCTGGAGGTAGCAGCGGCAGCCCAGGCCCTGCAGACCCTGGCGGCTGTAGCACGGTCCTTCAGGGACAGGTGGCGGAAGATGAGCGCCAGCAACTCCTCTGGCAGTTGCTCTCCAGGCTCGGCCATGGCCCAGATCCGGCTGGGGTGGGAGGATCCGCCACTCCCAACAGCTCTGGCCTGGAGAAAGAGGGACGTCTCTGGGCTCAGGAAGGCGCAAAGCGTTACAGGAAGATCGATCTTTGCTGTACAAATGCATGTGGCCTGAGGAACTGAGGCCCTCTCAGACAGCATGGGGCATCAGATAACCCTAACACTTGTTCACAAAGCAGATTTCACAGCCTCACCTACTAAATCAGGTTCTCCTGAAAGGGTAAGGCCCAGGAATCTGCATTTCAACAAGCCCCGGGTGACTCCACAGGTTCCACGTTGAGAAACCCCCCCCCTTTTGTTTTGAGACTGGGTCTCGATCTTTACCTAGGCTGGAGTGCAGTGGCGCACTGACAACTCACTGCACCCTCAGTCTCCCGGGCTCAAGCAATCCTCCCACCTCAGCCTCCCGAGTAGCTGGTACTACAGGGGCAAGCCAGCAGCCTGGCTAATTTTTGTAATTTTATTGCAGAGACGAGGTCTCGCTTTGTTGCCCAGACTGGCCATGAATTCCTGGGCTCAAGCGATCGGCTCGCCTCGGTCTCCCAAAGTGCTGGGATTACAGGCGTGAACCACCATGCCGGGCCTGAGAAACCCCATCTTAACACCGCGGGTTAGTAGCAAGTGAATGGAGGGTTAATAAGGCGGGAGCATTAATGTAGACTTTTCTTTGTCCGGGACCGTGAGCCAATCAGGAAGTGGGGCGTGGGCGGGGCACAGTTGGATACGCCCGGAGAGGGGAGACTTTTTCCCCGCCTCTGCCTCACCGGCGTGTGTCCCGGGTGCTTCCTAAGACAGCCCCACAGGGTGAAAAGAAGCTTGGGGCTCTGGGACCTGACAGCTCTAGTGCCTGAGGGGCTCAAAGTTCAAATTTCGACCCCTGAGCAGCCCTGGCTCCCGCGGGCAATTTGGGTTCGGCTGGAACTCCGCAGACCCACCCCGGAGCGCGGCCTTTACCGGGGGATGGGGTTATCGGAACGTGTGCGTCCTCTTTGAAGTTGCCAATCTTGGTGTTTTGTTTTGAGATGGAGTCTAGCTCTGTCGCCCAGGCTGGGGTGAAGTGGCGCGATATCGGCTCACTGCAACCTGCGCCTCCCAGGTTCAAGCGATTTTTCTGCCTCAGCCTCTTGAGTAGCTGGGATTACAGGTGGGCGCCACCACGCCCTGCTAATTTTTGTATTTTTAGTAGACACGAGGTTTCACCATAATGGCCAGGCTGGTCTCGAACTCTTGACCTCGTGATCCGCCCGGCTTGGCCTCCCAGAGGTCTGGGATTACAGGCATGAGCCACCGCACCCAGCCCCCAGTCTTGTTTTAAGGTTCCTGAAGGTTTGCATACACAAGGCTTCACATCAGTCGCCAGTTAGTGTCCCCATATCTTCCGGGCTAAGTTTCTCACGGAATTTGTGGCACGTGTTTCCTGGGGCTTCAGATACGCTCTGCCAGGCTTGTACCTGGGACCCATGAGCACCCCGTTTTCAGTGCCCAGTCGTAGCAGCTATCATGCAGCCGGATTCCCAGAGGCACCAGAAAATTCTGGTCTACAGAGGGCTCCCCGTTTCTACCAAAGTCTGGCAGCTCTCGCTCTTCTGAGCCCCCGGCCTCGTAAGAATCGCAGACCCCCAAAGTCCAGGTCTTCCTGCCGTCTAAACCTGGGCGCCGGTGTCTTACCTGCTCAGCGGACTAGATGGGCTTTGCCCGGGGCTAGAGACTGACTTCAGAGGACAGCAGGCGGGAAGCAGCCACCGGGGCGGGACACGCGGGCGGACAGGGTGTCTAGGGCTGGAGCGCCGCCCCAGAGCCTCCGCGCACACCCGGAAGCGGCGCGAGTGGAGCGGAGCCTGGCGGGCGTGGGAACCCAGGCCCGGCCGAGGTGGCCAGGTTAGTGTAGAGGGTGGGTGCGTGGGTGGGCTCCCCAATGCGGGCGGGAGCGGAGGTGGATCCTGGCTCCGAAGCGTGGGCGCGGCGCAGATGTCACCAGCGGTTGCTCCAGCCAGCTGGTGGCGGCGGCCTATTGGGCTGTTCTAATGGGAGGCGGGGGGCTGTGTGGAATTTGGTCCCCGCAGGCTCTTTTTCCCTGACAGGGCTTTCAAGGGGCAGTAGGGCCCTGCGGGAGAGAGGGTGGGGGAGGAGGGGCTGGTTCTGAACACTTCCTTGAGCGGAGACCCCTCTGCCCACCCCAGCTAATCGCAAGTGCAAAATGCCAGCTTGAGGGTGGGCTAGTGGGAGCCTGGGAAGCTGCCCTCGAGCGCTCAGGAGCAGGGTAGCTGAGTAGGGAGTGTGCCTGGCGAGTCGCCAGGAGTCGCAGGCTTTCAGTTCTGGGCCACTCCCACAGGCGGTCCCGGTCCACCCAGCCAGAGGTGGGGCTTCTCCCGGGACTGTTAGGTGTTCAGGGGCACCGTGCTTGGCTTGCCCCTGGAAATAGGGGCAAACGTTGTTAGGTTGATACCCAAGTGCCCCACAGTTTCCGCCCACCAAGATTTCTCAGGACCCAGCCTGGAAGCCTCAGCCCCGCCCAAAAAGGGACGACTACAGGTGGGTGGGGCGCGGGGATTCCCAAGAGGGGCTTCTGTGAAAGAACACGTAGGAGGAGCTGCCAATCAGCGGATGGCAAAACTAGGGCCCTGGCCTCTTTACCCTGTTAACTCGACCTCCAGCCTGGCTCACCTCCGCCATCTGTCTGGTAGTAGTGAGTGTGACGGAGCATCCCCCATCTCCAGGTTCCCAGAACTCCCCGCGTCCCCCCACATCCCCCCCGCAGGCATGATGCGCAGACACTGGTCCCGTTGAATCCCCACTTCCACCCTTTGGGGTGGGACCACATCCATCTAGTCAACACTCCCACCTCAAGAGGCTAGGAAGACTTGAAAGGGAACGTTTCCAGGAGAGGTTCCCACTCTATCCTACTTCCCAGCCCACTTTCCTAGGACTCTCCGCCAGTCTCACCTCCGTGGCTGGCTCCCTGCCACGTGCTCCTGGACCCACTTGTCACTTGCAGGGCTTCCCTTGTTTTTCTTGTTTTGCTTTCAAGGAAAACAAATTTATTTTGCTCTTTTACTACAAAGAAAATTTATCTCCTTCACATGAAGCAGGAAATATTGCTAAATACAAAGAAAATAAAAATCACCTATAATCCTTCCCCACCCCCACCTACCTCCCTCTATCCTGCCCAGTGATAAACAAAATGGAAAGTTCCTGTTAATATCCAGGCTGTGGTTTTGAGTAAGTACACAAGTCTTAATGTTTTCTTTTCTTTTCTTTTTTGAAACAGTCTTGCTCTGTCACCAAGGCTGGAGTGCAGTGACATGATCTAAGCTCACTGCAACCTCTGCCTCCTGGGTTCAAGTGATTCTCCTGCCTCAGCCTCCCGACTAGCTGGGACTACAGGCATGTGCCACCACACCTAACTAATTTTTTGTATTTTTAGTAGAGAAGCGTTTTCACCTTGTTAGCCAGGAGGGTCTCCAAAAGTGCTGGGATTACAGGCTTAAGCTACCACACCTGGCCCAATGGCATGATCTTGACTCACTTCAACCTTCACTTCCCAGGTTCAAAGGATTCTCCTGCCTCAGCCTCCCAAGTAGCTGGGATTACAGGTGCCCACTACCACGCCTGGCTAATATTTTTGTATTTTTACTAGAGACAGGAGTTTCACTATGTTGGCCGGGCCTCCCAAAGTGCTGGGATTACAGGTGTGAGCCACTGGCCTAGCCAAGTGTTAATGTTTTCTATGAAAAGATTAGGAGGCCAGGTGTGGTGCCTCACACCTGTAATGCCAGCACTTTGGGAGGCTGAGGTGAGCAGATCCCTTGAGCCCAGGAGTTTGAGACCAGCATAGGCAACATGGTGAAACTCCATCTCTACTAAAAATATAAAAACTAGGCCAGGCACAGTGGCTCACACCTGTAATCCCAGCACTTTGGGAGGCTGAGGCAGGCAGATCCTGAGGTCAGGAGTTCGAGACCAGCCTGACCAACATGGTGAAACCCAGTGGAAAGAAAGAAAGAAAGAGAGAGGGAGGGAGGGAGGGAGGAAGATAAAAGCTAGCCAGGCATGGTGGCATGTGCCTGAGGTCCCAGCTACTCGGAAGGCTGAGGTGAGAGGATTGCTTGAGTCGGGAAGGTCAAGGCTGCAGTGAGCTGTGATAGTGCCACTGCACTCCAGCCTGGGTGACAGGGCAAGACCCTGTTTCAAAAACAAGAAAATTAAAAAAACAAAGGTTGAGAATAGTGGCTCACTCCTGTAATCCCAGCACTTTAGGAGGCCAGGGTGGGAGGGTCACTTCCTGTTCCTCATGTAAATAGATGGCTGCTGGGGCCACCCCATTTGTCCTGCCCATGGCTAACACTCAGCAGTCCTCCCAGCCCACCATATATGAACCTTGACGACTGGAGTGCACAGGAGTGTGACTGATGAGGCAGGAGGTAGGGCCTTGAGCCCATGATACTAGGAAAAGGATGGGCAGGAAAAGGGTGAGGTGGGAAGAAAGAAGGAGGGCAGTTCCTTACTTGCTGTCTTATGGGGTAGTAACTGGGAGACCTCTGAGCTGTGGCTCAGTGCAGTGGTTCCCTGGCTGGTAATTTTGCGCCTGCTAGTCCGGGGCTAGGTTTTTGCCAGAAGATGGGTGAAGGAGATACCAGCACCAAGGGGCTCTGGCTTTTTCTGGACAGGGAGGGAATAGAACAATTTGTGTTGAAATGACTGGAGCCAAACTCCAAGCACTTTATAACAAAAAGGAATTATTTAGCTCACATAACTAAAAAGTCCAAATGCAATAGCTTCAGGGACAGCTGGATCCAGGAGCCTAGTATGGTTAGGAGTGCACTTCTCAATCTCTTGATTGTTTCTTTCTGTGTCAGCTTCACTCTCAGCCAGGCTCTTCTCAAGCAGTGGCAAAGAAGAGCTGCCCTTTCCTTCCAGTTCAGCCCCAAGGGAAGGGAAATTAGTGCCTCTTTCCTATTGGCTCATCCAGGGTTGTAGGGTTGATTCTTATTGGTCAAACTTTAGTCCTATACTCCGCCCTGAACTAATCACTGCAGAAATGTGAATGAAATATGAAGATTGGCCAGGTCTGGTACACAAGCCCGGCCTGGAGCTAGGGAGTGGGACACAGGCACAGGAATTAAGAAGGAGAAGGGAAGTCCCTAAAGGTAAGACAGGCTTGGGGGAGGGAATCTGGGTAGATGCAAACTACAGGTGTCCTTTGAAGTGAAGACAGGAGGTTTAACCTTAAGGCTGAGGTCCTCCAGAGATACTGGGCTCAAGTCTATTCAGAAGGCAAGGCCAGGATATGGGCCTGGTTGGCTTTGGGGCATGGGCACCATCCAGAATGAAGGTGTCTCCTGTCCACTTCTATAAGAGAGACAGAGGCCTGAGGAGGAGGCAGAGAAGAGCTGCCTCTGCTCCCCCTCCACTGTGACTCTGGGTCCTTTCCCTGAGAAGGTAGTTGGGGGACAATCCTTTCTGCAAGTCTGGGGTGGGTGGGACTCTGTACAGAGCCAGGAGCTCAAGGGGCTGCCTGTGAGATGGTGAACTTCTGTCTCAAGTATGCCAACTAGTGTTGGGGACACCTGAACCTCATGGGACTTGAGGCTACTGTGGTGGGGACAGCTGAACCACCTGGGGCTGGACAGTTGTCTCCAGGACAGAGGGAGGGAGATGAACTGAATACCCAACTGTCTCCATCTCCAGGAGGTGAGATGGCAGCTGGGCAAAATGGGCACGAAGAGTGTGTGGGCAGCGCATACCTGTTTGTGGAGTCCTCGCTGGACAAGGTGGTCCTGTCGGATGCCTACGTGCACCCCCAGCAGAAGATGGCAGTGTACAGGGCTTTGCAGACTGCCTTGGCAGGTGCATGGGTGTGCTGGCATGTGGAGAGGAAAGAGTGGCCTGGGGCATTTTGTGGGAGGGGCTGAGGCTGCAGGTCCTCTACTTGGTGGGCCTGGGCTTAGCCACCTTTAGGTAAAAGATTTGGGGTGGGAGGAGGAAGATGGAGGACCCCTGGCTGTGTAGACTCTGTCCTCTCTGTTTGTGTCATGACCTTGAGGGTATATGTGCGTCCTCGAGTCAGTGTATGATTTACTTCTTTGTGCACTAACGTCCTTTGCTCGATCCCCACCCCCTCCACCAGCCAGCTCACTCCTTTCTACTAATTGTGGATGCCTCTCTCCTCTTTTCCTCTCTTACTGCAGCACTCCTTGCTCAAGACTCCTCCCCAGTACCTACCCTTCCAGGCCCCGCTTTCCCATCTCAGGGCAGAGGCCACAGGAGGCTGAAGCGGGTTGGGGGATCTGTTCGTGGCCTCAGAGCGGCGAGAGCCCCTCTCTTCTTCCCGAGCAGTGGGAGCGGAGCTTGGTGGAGGCTGAAGACCTGAGACCTCCCGCCCTCCTCTGCCCTGCTGGCCGCCTACCCAGAAGGCCTGGTCGCCCAGGGAACATGCTTCCTTTTCTGTGCTACGAAGTCACTCTCTTGCTAGTTCTTTTTTTTTTTTTTTTTTTTTTTTTTTTTTGAGACAGTTTCACTCTTGTTACCCAGGCTGGAGTGCAATGGCACGATCTCGGCTCACCGCAACCTCCGCCTCCCGGGTTCAGGCAATTCTCCTGCCTCAGCCTCCTGAGTCGCTGGGATTACAGGCACGCAGCACCATGCCCAGCTAATGTTTTGTATTTTTAGTAGAGACGGGGTTTCACCATGTTGACCAGGATGGTCTCGATCTCTTGACCTCGTGATCCACCCGCCTCGGCCTCCCAAAGTGCTGGGATTACAGGCTTGAGCCACCGCGCCCGGCCATCTCTTGCTAGTTCTCATTTGGGACATGGGAGCTGGGGCTAGGTGGCACCCACTCTTGAGGTGCTCCCTGTGATAGGTCCTGGCCTTCTTTCTGGGTTGCTGCTGTTTGCATCCCAATTTGTGCTTCCCATCTGGGTACTCTGGAGTAACTGCACCCTAGGTCAGGGGATGGGACGGGGCTTGACCACAGGCCTCGCCCCTCCTCCGGCCGCTTGGAGAACGGCCGAGCTTGGGGACCGTCTGGCGCCTGACCGCCCAGCGCCTGACAGCCCGCCTCCGCAGAGAGCGGCGGGAGCCCGGACGTGCTGCAGATGCTGAAGATCCACCGCAGCGACCCACAGCTCATCGTGCAGTTGCGATTCTGCGGGCGCCAGCCCTGCAGCCGCTTCCTCCGCGCCTACCGCGAGGGGGCGCTACGCGCCGTGCTGCAGAGGAGCCTGGCGGCCGCGCTCTCCCAACACTCGCTATCGCTGCAACTGGAACTGCGCGCTGGCGCCGAGCGGCTGGACGCTTTGCTGGCGGACGAGGAGCGCTGTTTGAGTTGCATCCTGGCCCAGCAGGTGCGGCCGGGCTGGGGTCAGGATGGGGTAGGGCGGGGATCCGCGGCCAAGCCCCTGGTGACTGCAAGTTCCCTTTCCCTAGCCGGACCGGCTCCGGGACGAAGAACTGGCTGAGCTGGAGGATGCGCTCAGGAACCTGAAGTGCGGCTCGGGGGCCCAGGGTGGCGACGGGGAGGTCTCTTTGGCCCCCTCGCAGCTCCCCGTGCCCTCTCTGTCGGAGGTGAAGCCGCGGCCGCCGCCAACGCCTGCCCAGACTTTTATGTTCCAGGGTCAGCCTGTAGGTGAGGTGCAGGCGGAGAGGCAGGGTCACCAGGAGGTTGGAGTCTGGGGAGCAGCAGGGTCGTCGCCGGGTGGGGATGGGTGGGATCAGCGCTGGGCGCCCCCCCCTCACCCCGCTTCCTCGCTCCTTCTGCAGTGAACCGGCCGCTGAGCCTGCAGGACCAACAGACGTTTGCGCGTTCCGTGGGCCTCAAATGGCGCAAGGTGGGGCGCTCGCTGCAGCGGGGCTGCAGAGCGCTGCGGGACCCGGCGCTGGACTCGCTGGCCTACGAGTACGAGCGCGAGGGGTTGTATGAGCAGGCCTTCCAGCTGCTGCGGCGCTTCGTGCAGGCCGAGGGCCGCCGCGCCACTCTGCAGCGCCTGGTGGAGGCACTTGAGGAGAACGAGCTCACCAGCCTGGCAGAGGACTTGCTGGGCCTGACTGATCCCAATGGCAGCCTGGCCTAGACCAGGGGTGCATCCAGCTTTTGGATAACCTGGATGGCCCCAGGGTTCCTTCTGCTGCTATTGCTGAACCCTTGTCCATCCACGGGACCCTGAGACCCCATCTGGCCTATCATCTGCTGGACTTGCTGAGGCAGAGTTGACTGCCTTCCCCAGGAGCCAGACTGGCACCCACCGAGCCCGCTGGGGGTGCACCACTGGGGATTCTGCCTCAGGTACTTTGATAGAGTGTGTGGGGGACCTGCTTTGGAGATCAGCCTCAACCTTCCCCCACCCCAGAAGTGGGACTTACAGCCAGCCCTTACAGTTTCACTTATGAAGCACCTTGACCTTCAGTGTCCTGGACTTCATCCTGGGTGTTGCAGATACTGCAGTGAAGTAAAACATGAGTCAGTCTTGCCTGCACCCGGCTCACACTCAGCATGGGACCCCGAATGTAAAGCAATGATAAAGTGTAGCATGGTTTTTGATGTGAGAAATACAAGTAGTAGTGGCTTACACCTGTAATCCCAACAATTTGGGAGGCAGAGGCAGGAGGACTGGTTGAGCTCAGGAGTTTGAGACCAACTTGGGTAGTCCCAGCCACTTAGGAGGCAGAGGTGGGATGATCTATGGAGCATGGAAAGTTGAGGCTGCAGTGAGATGTGATTGAGCCACTGCACTCCAGCCCGGGCTACAGAGTGAGACCCTGTCTCAAAAAAGAGAGAAGTTGTGGAGGATGGAGGAAGGGGCCTAACCTGAGTGGGGAACAGGGAGTAAGCTTTCTGGAGGAGATCAGTGTTGAGCAGGCATGGGGATGGGGTATCTAGAGAAGGGCAGTGTTCCGGGAACCTGCAGCCTCAGGCGAGGGCTTGAGAAAGGGGAGAGAGAGGGACGTTAGAAGGACAGTTAAAAGTGGGTGGATCTGGCCGGGTGTGGTGGGTCACGCCTGTAATCCCAGTATTTTGGGAGGCCAAGGTGGGCAGATCATGAGGTCAGGAGATTGAGACCATCCTGGCTAACATGGTGAACCCCGTCTCTAGTAAAAATACAAAGATTAGCTGGGCGTGGTGGCACTCACCTTATAGTCCCAGCTACTTGGGAGGCTGAGGCAGGAGAATCACTTGAATCCGGGAGGTTGAGGTTGTCGTGAGCCGAGATTACACCATTGCACTCCAGCATGGGAGACAAGAGTGAAACACTGTCTCAAAATAAATAAGTAAATAAAAATAAAAACAAAATAAATAAATACAATAATTAGCTAGACATGGTGGTATGCACCTGTAATCCCAGCTACTTGGGCGGCTGAGGCAGGAGAATCACTTGAATCCAGGAAATGGAGGTTGCAGTGAGCCAAGATCGCACCATTGCACTCCAGCCTGGGCAACAGAGCGAGACTCTGACTCAAAATAAAATAAAATTTAAAAAGTGGCGGATCTGTGGGTTGGTGGACTTGCTGAGACCTGGAGCTGAGGCTGATCATGTGGCGAGAAACCTTTGAAGGGTTTTGGGAGTTAAGTCTGGGAGGCTGGAGGCTTATTTATGTATTTTTTTAATTTATTGATGTTTTTGAGACAGAGCTTTGCTCTTGTCACCCAGACTGGAGTGTAATGGCGCAATGTCAGCTCACTGCAACCTCTGCCTCCCAGGTTCAGGCAATTCTCCTGTCTCAGCCTCCCAAGTAGCTGGGATTACAGGCGCCTGCCACCATGCCCAGCAAATTTTGTATTTTTAGTAGAGACGAGGTTTCACCATGTTAGTCAGGCTGGTCTCCAACTCCTGACTTCAGATCATCCACCCACCTCAGTCTCCCAAAGTGCTGGGATTATAGGCATGAGCCCCGCGCCCGGCCAAGACTGGGGGGTTGATGAGGATGGGGTTGAGGAAAATGGTGGCCCCAGTCTGGGCAGTAGCAGTAGAGGTGGAGGGAAGGGGATGACCACCAAGAGCTGTGTGGGTGGAAGAGTAACAGGCCTGGTGACACTGAGTGAGGAATGGGCTGAGAGTGGGCCCTAAGTTTCTGCCTTTGCCAGTTGAATGGTGAGTTGGACTGCCTGCTAGGATGGGAACTCCAGGGGAAGTTAAGGCTTGCTCTATTTGGGACAAGTTGGACATGATGTTCTTGCAGGGCATCCATGGAGAGAATGTGAGGACAGCTGGGTCTGTAGTTCTGAGCTCAGGACCAAGGTCCAATCTAAAGACTGATGAATAGACAGGTGGGAGTGGGTGGGGTGGCCCCAGGTGATGTCCTGAAGGACACCAACCAGAAAGGCAACACCCAAAGAGGAAGGAGGAAAACCAGAAGATTTGAAAGCCAGGGGATTACACACCTGCTATAATGGAGGCTGCCGATCAGTCAAGACTGAAGAGCATCTGCTGGACTCAGTTATAAGGAGCTTACTAGGCAGGGGTCCTTCTGAGTTATGGTGGGGGCAGCCAGAAGCTGTATCACAGGAGGGAATGAGAGGTAAAGCCGCAGAGAGAGCTGGAGCAGAGGACTCTTGATTACTTTGTGACCAGAAAGAAAGAGTGAGTTTCAGGGTGGAGAGTTGGATTGTTGTTGTTGCTTGCCAGGTTGGAATGCAGTGGCTAGATCTCGATCTCGGCTCATTGCAGCTTTCATCTCCCAGGTTCAAGTGATTTTCCTGCCTCAGCCTCCCAAATAGCTGGAATTCCAGGCATGCGCCACCACACCCAGCTAATTTTTGTATTTTTAGTAGAGACAGGGTTTCACCATGTTGGCCAGGCTGGTCTTGGACTTCTGGCCTCAAATGATCCGCCCACCTCGGCCTCCCAAAGTGTCGGGATTACAGGTATAAGCCACCACGACTGGCCTTTTTTTTTTTTTTTTTTTTCTTTTTTTGAAAGTCTCCCTCTGTCACCCGGGATGGAGTGCAGTGGTGTGTTCTGGGCTCACTACAACTTCCGCCTCCCGGATTCAAGTGATTCTATTGCCTCAGCCCCCTGAGTAGCTGGGATTACAGGCACCCACCAGCATGACCAGCTAATTTTTGTATTTTTATTTATTTATTTTTTTTTTTTGAGACGGAGTTTTGCTCTTGTTACCCAGGCTGGAGTGCAATGGCGCGATCTCGGCTCACCACAACCTCCGCCTCCTGGGTTCAGGCAATTCTCCTGCCTCAGCCTCCTGAGTAGCTGAGATTACAGGCACGTGCCACCAGGCCCAGCTGATTTTTTGTATTTTTAGTAGAGATGGGGTTTCACCATGTTGACCAGGATGGTCTCGATCTCTTGACTTCGTGATCCACCGGCCTCGGCCTCCCAAAGTGCTGGGATTACAGGCATGAGCCACCGCGCCCAGCCAATTTTTGTATTTTTAGTAGAGATGGGGGTTTCACCATGTCGGCCAGGCTGGGCTTGACTTCCTGACCTCTAGCAATCCACCCACCCCAGCCTCCCAAAGTGTTGAGATTACAGGTGTAAGCCACCACACCCAGCCAGAGTTGGCTTTTTAAGGTCGAACATTGGTGGGAAGAAGCCATCAGGAGCAGATCTAGCCCTTGCGCAGAGGATGGGGCTGGGTTCTTAGATACTGGTGGAGGCTGTCTATTTCAGGCTCCACCGCATGCTCTGGGACCAAGGAAGAGAGAGCTGGCAGCTGAGCTGGGCAGGGACTTAGCCCTCCATCCCAGACTACCTCTGTCCACCTGGATCCCAGAGCAATCCCTTAACCAAGGCCTCCTCGAGGAGCCTTCCCAGGCTGTCCCCATCCCTGCCAGTCCAGTATGACCTGCAGCAGCACAGGCCTGATCATTTCTACCTGCAGGAGGCTATTCTGGGGACCAGGGAATTCAGAACTGCACCTGGGTCCGGGCTCAGGTTCATTAGCCCCCGGAGAGATAGGCTGAAGTGCTTGCCTGTGAAATTAAAGCAGACTAGGTTGGCCCCCTGTTCTGTATCCCAGTGGATGGATGAGAGGGGCAAGGAAGGACAGATAGAATCCTCGACTGGCCGGCCACGGTGGCTCACGCCTGTAATCCCAGCACTTTGGGAGGCCAAGGAGGTCGGACGATGAGGTCAGGAGTTCAAGACCAGCATGGTCAACATGGTGAAACCTTGTCTCTAGTAAATATACAAAAATTACCCAGGCGTGGTGGTGGGTGCCTGTAATCCCAGCTACTCAGGAGGCTGAGGCAGGGGAATCGCTTGAATCCGGGAGGTTGCAGTGAGGCGAAATAGCGTCACTGCACTCCATCCTGGGTAGCAGAGCGAAACTCCCACCTCAAAAAAAAAAAAGTATCCTAGACTGAATTTCAGAAGACCCGGGGGCAGAGCTTTCTGGCCCTTGGATTCTGGGCAAGTCACGTAACTCCGCAGGAGCCCCTAGTGTCGCCATCTGGGCATGAAGGAGACCTGCTGGTAGGGTTGTCCTGAGGATTGGGTGGGTTGCCTTGTTTGTCCCGTGCGTGTGTTTACTGGAGGTCGGAAGCATGGCAGAGCCAGAAGTGAGAAGGCAGCCATGTGTCTCAAGGGCAGCGTATGCACCCTGCCTGATGGAATCAGGGCTGCTGAGGACAGGCCTGCAGGACAGGCCCGGGATGGTGGCCAGGTTCATGCGCATTTGGAACTGGCCCGGTCGCTCGGGGGCTCCTTGCAGCCTAGGCTCCGCCCCACTCTGGAGAGGCAGGATGGGGAGTGGAGCGTTGTGGGGAGCTAACCAGAGGAGTTGATGCTTCTTCCCAACCCCCGGAAAGGCGGATTTGGGGTGTGAGCACCCAGAACAGGCCTTCCCAGAGGAACTGTGAGGAGGCTCCCTCTCAGGGATTAGTCCCCACTCGGAGGTTGGAGTCCTCCTGGCGCCGGGGCGGAGCTGAGCTCCAGAGGTCCGGGCGCGCACAGCTGGAGGGTCACGTGGCACGGCCCTGGTCCCCCTTCCTGCCAACGCTGCATCTGGCTCGGGCCGGTCCCTGGCGGCCCCTGGGACCCTGCGCTGAGTCCCGGAGGCCAGGGCGTCCGGGGCTGCGCCACTTCCGAGAGCCAAGCGTGAGTGTCAGGACCCCAGGGCCCGACGTTGAGGGGATGGCAGGGGTGGAAGGGATTCGGCCTCAGCATTGGGGAGGAGGGAGGTTAGGGGCCGAGGCTCCCTGTCTCCCTGCCCGGCCCTGGGGCGCAGTCCTGGGCCGGAGCTGAGGCTGGGGGAAGTTGGCTACATGGGGGAACTTCTTGTCCCTTCAGGCTGCCGGTCCCGGCCGGGAGGAGGAGAAAGACGCCAGGGGCTCCACCGCCGGTTGTTGGAGCCCCCCGGGGCGTGGCCTCCCGCCCCCTTGTCTGGGGAGGGCGGGACTCGCTGCCCGCCGCAGCCGACTGCGACCCTTCCAGGGGAGGGAGGGCACTGGCAGCGCGGAGATGAGGAGGAGGCTGCGCCTACGCAGGGACGCTTCACTCACACTGCTCCTCGGCGCCTCCCTGGGTCTCCTACTCTATGCGCAGCGCGACGGCGTGGCCCCAACGACTAGCGCGCCTCAGGCGCCAGGGAGGG